CCAAATAACCCGCACAGGCAAAGCTCCGGTAAATGTTAAGATTTTCGGGTTGTGATAGTTGAATGAGGCGGTTCTGCACATTTCTTTTCACCCGATCCTACTAAAACGCGGTCCAGGATGCACCTTTGGTGATCGTCTCATATCTATCAACCGTTAATCAAGTGAGGATGAAAAAGCGGATCTGCTGGAAATAGTTCCCAGTAGTCACGTATAGATTTTTAAACAGAACACTACTGATTGATCAACCTCCTTGGATAGCTCTATGCGTCCAGAATTATATGTGAGCCGCAAGGGTCACGCGACTTCTGCCAGTGCTGTTATTTTACGAATACACCTAGCACCAACTGAACAATTCTCGGAAGATTGCATTTCTGGTGGCCGGCGTGATCCCACTATGAAAGGGGTAAGTGGGGTCATCCCACCTGCTATTTCCGCCCTTGTAAGTAGAAAAAGAAAAAAAAGAACGAAGTTTTGACTTGTTCAGCGGTGCGAAGCCATCAGGGGCGCCAAATTCTGTCCTGCCTTTCGTCATATTTAGAGGGAAGTGGCACGATCAATCCCCTATACGTGTGGGACTAATGCGCCTAGCAGGACAGAATTCGGCGCACCTGAGCAGGCGCTGCGTGGCGCCTTTTCCAGGAAAAGGTACCCTTATAGCGCCCTATCAAGCTGCAACATACCGACCCGGACGCCCACCGCGCCCGCCCGCCCACAAATGTCGATGCTGGTGCTCGTATCGCTTCATTTGCGAAGTACAATATGAAGCGAAGGGATTGATATGAAGCGGCTGCGGTGCTGCAGGATATATGAGTACATACATGCACTTATATCTACCGTAGCCGCTTATTGGCACAATGCCAACGGGAAACTCGTCCGAAATCGCTCTCTAAGTCGTTAGAACCAATTAGCAGGACTTTGACCATTTGCTTTTCTGCCATTTTCCCGTAGCAGCCCTGCTTCAATTTTTGACCGAGTACCAAATTACCGTGCCTTATGCCTTTAGAAGCTGTCACGATAATTTGGTACTCGCTTTGAAATGCTAGCAAGGTGCTCTATAGTAGGAAAATGGCCAAAAGAACTAGGTGAAACGGTCCAAAAACCTGCTAAGAAGCAAACTTTCTGTCCTTGACCGCCTAAAAAAGCAATGTTTAGAAACGAGTTTACTCGTCAGGACGATCTTGCCAGTAACCGTTTCGGCAGATAAGGCTGGCCGTATGTACTCATATCCAGGCATCACCGCGGCCGCTTCATATAAATCCTTTCGCTTCATATTTTGAATCGCAAATGAAGCAATATGAGCATCAGGTACGCAGCGCCTGCTCATGGGCGCCGAATTCTGTCCTGCCAGGCGTATTAATCCTACTCTTCTTAGGGATTTATCGTGTCAACTGCCTTTAAAAGGTCTCACTGCTTAGTCGTTGTCTGATCACGTTTAAGAGCAAAAGTTTACAGCAAGAGAGAAGCTGGCGGAAAGTGGAACTTGAGCTTTCAGTTACAGTATCGCTAAAGCAATCAGCCAGTGATTTAGAGATTGATGAAGATATCCGCAAACATGGAGAAAGCGTCTTCGAGAAAACGACTCAAAGTCTGTGGCACAAGTTCGCAAGGGCAAGCCATATTAAGGCAACCAGGGACTCTCAAGTGCTATCAATCTCAAAGACTGTCATTGCAAAAGCAGAATGGTTACATCCCAACTTTACATTTCCCGTTTTCCCATTTAAAAACCCTATCACTGCAAAACGCATCGCTGTGCAAAAAGAGAACGCCCACGTTGCATTGTCTGTTGTGTCGAATGAGCTGAAGAAAAAAAATTGATACATAACGAACCTCGTCGATGAAAATAATGGATGGTTTGTGTTCCCGGGCAAGGGCGAACAGATTTTTCACCAACCTAAAAAAACGTCATTGATTAGAAGACATCAACCAGTCGCGTATAATTGAGTGTCAGTCAAAAAAGCATAAAAAGGATAAAGTCTCCGCCGTTGATCAACCCCTTTTGGAATGCGGCACGCACTCTACTTCCATTCAGAATCGTAGCAGGCTTATTGAATGTGAAGATGACTATAGAAACACGTGAGGGGGCCAGCCCATGTGTGAGCAAGTATTCTTATTCTCTCAGAGTAATTTGGTACCAATTTAGCGTTCTCGGAGGGCAGGTTTGGTTGGCCTGGGCAGCGGCCGATCCGGGATCTGACTCCTGGTGCGTGCACTGTAGGCGTGCCTTGCCGCTACAGCACCTCCGCTTCGCTAAACCTGTGTAGGAATAATCAGTACTGCCGTCATAGGGCATCATTTAGACGTACATAACTGGCTGACGAGCCAAGCAACCCAAGTATATGCAACTTTTCTTAACCCATCCGCCAACTCGTGTACAACCGATGGTGGGGACCACGAAATCCAGCCGAGGCTCCAGTCGTCGTCAACATGCGAGAACGAAGATGATAAGGGCATGTTTCGTTCGCTAGTCACACGCTACTTACCCAGCAATAGCACGGCAAATCAGAGTTGCTCTCCTCCACTCTCTCTGGAACCGACGGCTCCCGAAACTCACAAAGACCCGTGGGTTTATACCCCCCCCCACCACTGCTCTAGAGCGATAAAGTAAGAGGCCATAAGAATGACGGCGATCAATGAGATGACTCATTATCGGTAGCAAAGTGACAGATAAGGCGTTAAACAGCAGTTATCATAACAAAATTGTAAGCCTTCGGCCTCGCGGTTCCATGCCGATATCTAACGATTACGGCTGACCGGCTCACCAAGTTAAACGTGTGAGTGCTGTAAGGCTACGGCATAAGCCGTTAAGCTGAGAGGGTAAAACCGGCCCTGGTGGGTAACGGATAGAGCACTCGCTCGGAAAGCGCGAGGTGCGGGTTCGACTCCCGCCTGGGGCACGAGGTTTTGACTGGTTGAGGCCCACAACTCAAGCATTTTGTTGATAACCCTTCGGAACGCGATACTGCCGGGGGGTCTCTCACGTTTAAACAGCCAGTTTATTGCATAACATTGACAGATAAGGCATTTTTTAATGGGGCCTATGGGGAATGTCAAAAAAAATGCGCTTATGACCACACAGTGGCAGATAACATGTTCATTCAGTTTTTCTAAAAGGATGGCATTCCACAAGTACTCATTCGTAATGACCCTAACAAGGAAAGCGTTATAAACCGTGACGCTACCGCTTTCGGGCAAGAGAATCGTAATTCGCCGCGTTGATAGGCGTCGCGTGCGATGTCGCGCCAGCAAATGACAATGGTTCCAGGTCAGGTGCTTCATTTGAAAAGCTAACACGAACAAGGAAAACGTCGCGCCCATTGCCGCGCGCGGCGGAGCGGCGTATTACAATTCTCTTGCGCGTCTCCCACCGCTTCCGCTATCATTGTGCCATCACAGCCCTTGCTATACAGTCTTGTTCACTGCGGATTATGGGGCGTGTCAGCGATGCTGGGCTTGGCTCGCTGACAGTTACACTCCGCCTGTTATTTGCCTCCGCGAATCGCTAGGGAGATCTACTTGGCAATTCTTGTTCCTCATTTTTGTGAAAAACACTCCAAACAATGGATTTTCTAAATCACCATTCAGAAAATTCAAAGTATTGCCATGGTAAAGTATATACGATTGATCCTACAGCGGTCCTATGGGCTCCGTTCTTTGGAATTATTATCAATTTTCTCAATCATTGCGAGCGAGCAATTTTCAAACTCCGCAACAACTTCCGGAGATTTTTCTGGGTTCACAAACCAAGAAAGGGAATTGGACTCCCGCCCAAAAATAATAAACGGAAATCGCGCTTGAGTAGCTTGAGCGGTTTTTGAAATCGAATTTCGAGAATTTGTTCTGCGATTCCCAAAAATATCAAAGCATATGGAAAACATGTTTGTTGACAATCCCACTTACTTCTCCGATTCACCAAGCCATTTTGACATGAGATCTGATGACGAAACAGAGAAAAACGTCGAGTTGTCGGCTTCTGTTGCTACTGCTTTCGCAATGTATGATTTACCCGTACCTGGTGGACCGAAGAGCAGTATTCCTCGCCATGGCTTTCGATTACCTACAAGCGAATAATAAGCACAAGACAAAGAAGGCAACATTTAAAAATACAAAACACTATTGGACGTTTTCCATCAATATCCATTGGCCGTGGTACGATGAAGGAGGAGGGGAGGGGGATGAGGGAAAGAAACCTTGTGCAAAACTAGGAATATTTCAGGAAGATGAAGATTTTGTCCATGCACAGCCTTTGGGATGGGTGAAACCATTTATCGCGTTTTCGCAGTGAGGTCATACCTGCCTGTTCTGCACAAATCTCTACCCTTCCCACACCCCCCCCCGCCCTGCAACCATCACGCCTTCAACTCGGTCTGGTTGAAAATTGGGCATGCGTAAACTCTGTTTTATATTGTTGCGCCGACCAGGTTTGTTACTAGCGAAGCCGCTTTATTAGTCAACGTTCGAACAGATCGTCGTCTTCAGAACCTGAAACTGGCTCGAACCCCACACTAGTACGATTGGGGGATTGACCACAATTTACCTGATCAATCCCCCAATCATACTAGGCTAGCTTCAGCACATCCCAAGAACTCCAAGGAAGGAACCTCTGGCAAAGGAACCAGGCTCCGCGGCTTCAGCAGCTTTCCTGAGCAAGGGATAAGTGAACTACCTCGGGCACTACATACGTCATAAGTGCAATATTTGGCCATCACAAGTGATTTTTTGCCTTCCATTCATTAGTGTAGGCTGTGAAATCACCATCTATTGCACGTATGTCGTTTTTACCGCCAGTGGTGGTTCACTTATCCTTTGTTCAGTGTGGTGAGTAGGGTGAAAGCTGGTGAAGCCGCGGGAGGTTGCTTTTTTTCGCCGATTCCTTACATGGGGCTTTTGGGATGTGCTGAAACTACCCTAGCATGGTTGGGCACTTGATCAGGTAAGTAACATAAGAAGACTTCGAGCCAGTTTCAGGTCCTGAAGACGATGATCCATTCCAAAAGCTGACCGAAGCGGTTTCACTAACAAATTCATTCTTGTTATGAAAATCAAAATTTTTCTAGGCAATTTGTCATGGTCCATAAAAAAGCCCTGCTCGCTGGAATGAAAAAAGGCTCTATTTACCCAGAAGAGGACGTCTAGAGGACTCCTTGTGCAAAACTGGAACTCCCGTAAGAGAGATAAGGACTTGTACCTCAGTCTAAGGGGGAGAAGAAGCTCCGGGCGGGTGAACCGACTTCGAGTACCGTGCTTCGGATGACTATTTGATCCCAGTTCTGCACAAAAGGTCTTTAAAATGACCCCCCCCCTCCCTCCAAGCATCATGGCACTGGTAAGATGAAAATAGCACTCGGTTCTATAGTTTTCCTTGGACCTGACTCTAGGTCTTGCTATGCAGTAACTTCTTGGAAAGAGATCCCAAGTGCAACGTTGGGCCGTTAGCCCCCGTCTCATTTGATGCTACCCGAACTATTTTAGAATGTTTAATGCATGAAGCCAGAAACCGTTCTCCATTGATGAAGACAAAGTGTCCAATAATTGAGGCTGGTTACCAATTAGAGCATTCTGAAAACGCGCTTTACGATTTATTTTTAGTACACGGCACTTCAAAGCTTCGCCAGGCTGAAATTCGTCAAGAGCTCTTGTTGAAGAAACGAACATAGTTCCAACGAAACCCTGTCGACCTAACCACCAGACAATCAATAGTCCATATTATTTCGCTCAGTCGGCGGAGGCGTTGCAGCGGAAGTTGAAGACATTTAAAAAGTCTACGGCATACAGGTCAACTCCTGGATTGAACCCCGCCCAGGTTAACTGAGCCTTTCATCCCCTCGAGTATGATTAACTAGTATTGAACTCGTCTCGGAGAATGAAAACACCTACTAGTACAGCGAGTGGCTCTCGTAAATCACTGAAATGGCTAGATCGCATCTAAATGCTCCTACCATATCGATGTGAAGCGCTCGTGCACCCCACCAAGGGGTTGAATCAAGACCAACTGCGTTATCCTTTTATCTCGCTAAGACAGGCTAAGACAAAGTCTACGATGAAAAAAAAATTAGTGTTGATATCGACACTGTTGTCTACTTCGATGTGGACGTGAACTGGCACCCTTTGCTTATGAAGAACGCGTTGCATCGTTTAAAGCGCATTCCGCTATGGCGCGCTAATCGGCTAAGGTAGGGTGAGGGGGGGGATGCATTTTGCACATTCGCTGCTTCGTTTCGTCCAGCTCATGTTAACTAATAGGTTCCACTTTGGTCAGACCTGTAAACTCTTGTTAAACTGTGGAATTCCATAAATGGGCCACTTTGGTTACAAGCATTCCAAGTCATCGCAAGGGGAGGGGGGCAAAAAAAAGCCACTTCGACCGAGTCACATAA